TTCATTACCATGAACGACCCTCTTGGCAATATGGCTAACTTGCTCTTATGGGTTTTTTTTTCTTTTTTTTTCTTTATGTTTTACTTGCCCCAGTTTCACGTGGCTCGGGCTTCAAAGGATCTCAAGTTGTTCCTATTTCCCTTAAGTGTCCAGATCATCCCCCAATGGCTTTATAATTAACTCTTAAGATTAGGCCCAAACTGTGCATGCATGTCATGTCACTAGAATTGGCGTTGAACAAGGACAAAACAAAAGGATAAAAAGAACTAAACAAAGAAGATGACCGGAGGTAACAAAAAATCAGAATTTGCATTAGACAAGCGGTGAAATGGTTCGTATAATGAAACAAGCAAAACAACTGGGGTACAACCTTGGAACAAACCCTAAAACAATCCTAGACAACACTAAACAAACCACTATGACAAAATGGAAGGATAAGAGGGTTTGACCCAAGACATTGTCTGGATTGCAACCCTGCAAATAACCCGGACAACAGAAATGATAACAAAATGAACCACCAAAACTCCTCCCTGACCAACCAAGAAAGGAGCGTCTTTCCAGTTGTCAAGCTCGACATCTTAGCCACTGAATTCGGCATCAACATTACTGGGACCTCCACCAACTTCCATCTCATTGTTCTTAACAAATTGCTCTTGGGTTCCCTTTATGAGCTCATTCTTAAGAGCAACCTCTGATAGCTCTGAAAACTCTGCAATGCGCGGACCTCCGAGGATCTCAGAAGACTTCTCATATTCCTTCTCAAAACAAGTCATATTCAACATATGCATCTCATTGCGAATAGGTGACGGACTTTGGCTAGTGTCTGTTGCATCTGGATTTTGCATGACAATGTCACCTGCATCAATAAGCTTCTGAATTGCTTTCTTCAGCTTCCAACACTTCTCTCTGTGTCATGCCCCGGGGCATCTGAGCAATATGCGCACCTTTGAGAAAAATCAAACTTCTTTGATAGAGGGTTTGGCATTTTATTTGAATCGGCTTCAGCATGTCCAATTGCTTCAACTTTTAGAACAAACTGGCATATGATCCTCCAACAGGGGTGAAAGCCTTTTCTTTTTTCAGCAACCTCTCATTCTTAAATGCTTGATTGGGCCGAAAACCTGATCCAGAGGGCTTTCGGTAGGCTTGTGAGGGTGGATAGATATTTTGTGGAGCTGGGTACTGGGAAAGTGAAGCATGTTTTTGGGAGTCCCGTGGAGAGAAGTAGCGTTGGGGAGGGGAGTAACGTTGAGAGAATATAGTTGGATGGCGAGCGATTAAGCTACTCGGGTGGCTGGGAAAGCTGTTATAAATGGGTAGATATGGAGAGTATGGGGGATCATTCGTTATTGTGTGAGGTGTTTGGGTAAGGACAGAGTTCAAGAAGCTAGGCGGTGGCGGGGGTGGTGCTTTCCCACTGATACATGACTGATACATGTCTGTCACATGCTGCCTCAACATTCTTACCTCTTCTACCAACTCGTAGTCCTGTTCAACCAACTGCTTTCGGGCGTCGGTACCAACACATTCAGTTCTGTTGCTCTCTGCCATTGTTTTTTGCCTTTGTTGCAGGGAAACATTACTTTAGGATCACAACCAACCACCTTTCATGATTATTTAAAGAGGACAAAATGGAAGCAACCTGTTAGCGTTAGGGTTTTCAACAGATAAGAAAACACACGTTAATGATGCAATGCAACTAGGCAATTAACCCTTTCTATCATGCATTTGCTTCAGTTATATGCGTCATTCCGGCTTCTTGTAATTGCGCTCCCTTTTTCTTTTTCTTTTTCTTTTTTCTCTTTTTTTCTCTTTTTTTTTCTTTTTAATGGTGGTCGAATCTTATGTGGATTGCCTACGTATCATGTCCCCGCATGAATCAGACCGGGCGTAGTTCTGCCACATAAAAGGTAAACAACAATAAAACATTTTTGGAATCACTTAAAGACGAACAACAGACTTGAAAGTCAAACGGCCCACATACTCTAATCAAAAGAAATACAAACTCAAGAAAAATAAAATGACAGATTCCTTCCCCTATATGTCGATTTTAACCAAACGACTGTTTTTGCAAACGTGGCCCCTTCCCAATTTCACATGAATTTTGAGGCCGTGAAGATTATTTTATGACACTTCACAAACTTGTCCGTTCTTTTATTAAAATAGTCTTTTGACCCTAACCCACTTAATTAATAGATTTTCACCAGCAAAGAACCAATTGCCAAATTCAATTACGGTGAAATTAAAAATTTGGGGTAAAGGGAGATAAAGGATGTGATAATGGTTCTTTGGTGGTATAATGCTGGAGATGATATGAAGGACATCAAAGGTCTTTTGATGTGTGTTCTGTAAGTGATTTGGCGTTTGGTCTAATGAAAAATAGTGAGAGGAATGTGTTACGGTTGATTGTTGTATGTGATGGAGGTGTATAATTGAATTGAGGCTATGGACATGGCAGTGAAATTAGCTATTAGATTTGATATTTTGGATTTGCTTAGTGGTGACCGGTGGTTGTGATGGTGAGGGAAATTCTGTCCAGTATGTGTGTTTTTTTTCTTTATGAGTTTCTATGGAACAAAGAAAAGTAAAAAATATGCTTTATCTATGTAATTCCGAAAATGGTGAAGCTCAATCGATATCTTATGGTGGCGCTACCTGGTGATTTTATGGCATGGAAGGGGAAGGTGGAAAAAAAGGTCTGGTGTGCATCAAATGGTGGAGGAAAAAAATAGAGAAGAAGGATGCGAGGTCCACATTGAGTTTTGGAAGGAAAAAAAGGATAAATATAATTTTAAAGAGTTTCACTCGCTCCAATCGGAGTGTAATATACAAAATTTGTCATGGCAGCATAAGGGGGTTTAAGAGACACATTTCTACTTAGCAGAAGTGTCTAACTGGAAATAGGCTCAGTTGAAGTGTTTGAATGATCGTTGAGGACAACTTAAATGGACCGTTTATGTATTTTAACTAAATTATAAGCAAATATTATTTAGGGCAGGTAATATATAAATTAGGATAATTTTGATAAATAAGTTTTTAAATATGGTATCGCAACGAAAAAATCCTAGACAAGCCAAAGAAAATAAAAATAAATATAAAAAAGAAAGGCATGGAGGGTAATTTAGGTGATTCAGTATTCGGGTAGCTCCATTTAGTGCCGAAGAGGAAGTTGAGGCGAAAGAGATAGAAAGAGAGATGGAGGGTCTTAGCGTTGTAAGAGCAAGTCCTTGTGTTTCTTCTTCTGCAATATCATCTTCACTTTCTTCCAAAACCAGCCGCTTATCCTGCGCACCCTCTTGCAAGCTTATCCTTAACCCCATCAAAAACCACCACCATTTGGCTGCATTTCAACCTGCATTTCATCTTTTTGCAAGTAACCAATCTCGTTCCCATGCCTCCAAAAGGAACCATACAGCTCGTATATTCCTTCCCCACTTGGTTGCTTCCATGGTATGTTTATCTCTCTTCTAATCTGTATATAATTATGCATTTAGTTGAACTTTTGCTTACCCAATTGTATTGTAAAAATTTGAGGTAAATATCTTGTTTCAGGAAGAAGTGGAGGAGACATACATTATGATTAAGCCTGATGGTGTTCAAAGAGGACTTGTATGCTCTTCTCAATGTTCTTGTCTTTTTTAACTATGGATTGTTGAAACACAAAAAAACAATGCATTCTTTTTAAAGTCTTGTTTTAAGTTTTTCTGTGATGTCATTTCTTAATTGTAATAGGTTGGGGAGATTATTTCAAGATTTGAGAAAAAGGGGTTTAAGCTAACTGGATTGAAGCTTTTTGAATGCCCCAAAGAATTGGCAGAGGTTCGTCTTTTTCTGGAGCTGATTTCTGGAGCTGAGCTTGGATATGAATTACACAATTTTTTCCAATGACTTTACATTTCTAGTTATGCCCTAATTAACCCCCCCCC